AATGTTGACATTTCATTCAGCACTCACGGAGCCCCACAGGAAGTGTAGAAAGATGCGCCATTTCAAGATGATAAAGAATCGTGGCCTCTATCTCGCCTTCATCATTAAAATAAGCCTGGCAGCCAGATGAGCAGGTAACGGCAGGGCACACAGTTGGATCTCCTGGCTGATTCCTGCCTCCCTTCCTGGCCCCACTCCAGCTGAAGTTCAGCTGCTCTCTCACACCCAGGGAAGCCACCAGCTGCTACACCTGCCCACACTGTCACCCAGGCTCCGACTTTACAACTGCTCTTCCGAACCACAACAAAGGCTCCAGAACGGACATCAGAGGCTTCGAAGTTTACACCCAAGTAAATCACTCACTGGCTATAGAACTCAAACCTGCGCCTCGGTGTGCGCAACAGAAAGAAAGCTTGAAGATTCTGAAACCCCACCAGCTGGGATAACAAATATGCAGGGCAGAAACAGATTCGTTTCCAAATATTCTATCAATAACCATGACCTGAATGTTGAATATACTCAACAGAAAAACTTCTCAACACAGCAGAGAAATAGGACAGAACGAAGCTTACAAACTGAGGCACAAAAGGAAGCTGAGGTGGTGGAGCAGACTGAACAGCAGTCGGGTATCTGGTGAACCATCACATGCTCCTGTGTTTCTTGCTGGCAGGATACTAGAATTTTTTAGGAGTACCCCCAAAAGAGATTGAATTCCCCACCAGCACCGGTGAATGGGAGCTTTTTTTGGAATGAGTTTTTATAGGCGATCAAGCCACGATGGGACATTAATCTTCCAAAATCAAATACAACTGATGTCCTTACCAGACACTCTCAAAGTGGGCTGACAATGCCTCCAAAGGAGGCCATGTAGAGACACATGAACACTGCCACCTTTGGGCCAAAGAACTGCTAGAGCAACCAGAATCAGGGATAGCGCGAGCAATAGATTCTCGATAGCCCTCAAAAGAAATACTCCTTGAATTCCGACCTCCAAAATCAAGAGACAAAGAAAAGCTTGCTGTGTAAGCAAGCCAGTTGGTACCCCTCAGGGCAGCCCAGGGCACGAATACCTGGAGATAGACAATGTAGACACAACAATGTAAAAGAACTTTTATTCTCTTGGTTCAGCTATTGTCTGTGAGTCTTACTGCCTCCTTCTGCTATCCTAGGCCTAGTCCTGGAACCTTCTAGCCTCCATACAACCTAACCTAGGCCTAGAATGTTTTCAGCCTCTGAGACTTACTGCTTAATAAGCTCACCCTTTCTTGTTCTTTCTGAGCTCTGGGCTGGCTGGTTCAACTCAGCTGCTCTGGCTCAAACACCTCTCCTCACTAAGCTGACTTGCTCGATGTGGCTTTTCTTTTCCTCTTAATTGCTCCAATTGGCCTCAAACTAACTCCAACACTTTTTTCTAATCTTCTGGCTCTTTCTCATACTCTGACTCATTCCATCTTCACCTGAGTTCTCTCTCTTCATTCTGTTTCTCTATCACTGTCCCAGTAAAACTGCTCTCTCTCTTTCTCTCTCATTCCCACTTAGGTAGCTTCCCTTTTCTCTCTCTTCTTGTGAGAGCTGGATATATCCTGTTATGTCAAGTCTTTCTCTGATTCATTACTGTTTCTGTCACTCAATAAACATCACTCTCAAATATGGGAGCTTCCTTCTACAAACTCTCTTTACCCTCATTGTTTGCTTTAAAGGTGTGTATACCTGGACCTAAGCTTTTCTTTACCTGAAACTTGCTCTATACCAGATTGGCCTTGAACTCAGATTTGCTTGCTTCTGTCTCCTGGATTAAAGGCATATTTGCATTCTAGCCAGATCACACAGACCTAGAAAGTCTTTGGATGTGATCTGTTGCCACAACAGCCATGTTCTGAATTAAAATTCCTCTACACAGGAATCCATTCTTCAGGCACTTGGGTATCAAAAAGAAGCAGCTCTAGCCAGGCAATGGTGGCACATGCCTTTATTTCCAGCATCTGGGAGGCAGAGGCAGGTAGACCTCTGAGTTCCAGGACATCTGGATAACAGAGTGAAATTGTGTAGCCAAGACTACATAAAGAAACCCTGTCTTCGGGCTGGAGATATGGCTCATTGGTTAAGAGCACTGGATGCTCTTTTGTAGGACTCTGGTTCAATTCCCAGTTCCTACTCAGTAGCTTACAACTATCTATAACTCCAGTTCCAGGGACCCAACACCCTCACACAGACATATGCACATAAAAATAAATAAATTACATATTTAAGAGGAAAATAAAAGAAACCCTGTCTTGAAAAACTGAAGAAAAAGAAGAAGCCCCCTGATAAAGGCACATGCTATTCAGCCTTAATTTATTAACATAGGCCCGTGTAAAGAGACCTATTTAAAAACCTGTTTTGGAAATGTTCATTTAAAACCATGTCCCCCTCACCTTCACAAGCCCTTCCCTTGTGGGATCAGAAGTTCTCAGGACGTCTTCTGTGGACCACCAGGATTCCTTTAGGTAAACAGCCACGACTGAAGGGAAAACCAAGAGAAAAGGTGTAAGTCACACAACAAACTCACTGGAGGCAACAGCGTGGCGCTTCAACAGCATGGGCCGATGTGCATACTTCATGGGTGAGTCGGGTGACATTATTATCACTTGGGTTGTATCATGATGATGGATGTGAAACCACGACCTTGCACATGCTACACCAGTGTTTTACCACTGAGATACTTCCGCAGCCTGGGGTAAGGTTGGTAGAGTTATGTAAGGGCACAAATCAGAAGAATTGCCTCTGAAAGGGACAAGATAAGTATTTCACAGGTGGCCTGTCTGTGTAAAAAAAAAAAAAAAAATGTTGAAGCAGTCAATATTACAAGAATTACATTTTTTATTTTTTATTTTTATTTTAGGTTTGGGCACATAGCTCGGTTGGAAGAATGCTTGCTCACCATGCATGAAGCCCTGGCTTCAGTCTCCACTGCCACATTAACTGGGTATGTAGACTTCAGTGGTATTCATGCAGGTCTAGCATTCAGAGGCAAGGATGAGGAGTTAGGGCAAAGACTAGAAATAGCGACAGGAGAGCCAGAAGTGCAGGGTTATCCTTGGCTATATATGCCAAGTTTGAGGCCAGCCTGGGCTACAAGAGACTCCACTTTAAAAAAAAATGTATTTTTTTCCTTATTAGAAACATATATCAGGGGTTGGAAAGATGGCTCAGCAGCCAAGAGCCCAAGCTGCTCTTCCAGAAGACCCAGGTTTGATTCCCAGCATGCACATGGCAGCTGGCGTCTGTAACTCCAGTTCCAGGGAATCCAACACCTTCACACAGACGGAAATGGAGGCAAGACACCAATGCACATAAGATAATGACCAATAAAATGATAATAAAGTTAAAAAACAAAGAAACATATCAAAATCCAATCATTTGGGGTTGGAAAGATGACTGAGCAGTTAAGAGCAGCCACTGCTCTTGCTGAGGGCCTAGGTTCAGAATTTACAGCACCCACAGATAGCTCACAGCATCCATAATCCAAGTTCCAGAGGATCTTATGCCCTGTCTGACCTCTGTGGGCACCAGGCATGCATGCGGGAAAACACTCATACACATAATTTTTTTTAAATAATAGTCCTCTGCACAACTCATAACTCCCCCCCACACACTATAAGATCGAACATTATCTATGGGCTCTGAGGAACAACAATTACTTCCTGTGTGTTGAGCAATGCCTTGGCAGTAGAGTCAACACCGCCTGCTTTTATGTGAGTTTCTTCCAACCTCATAATGAAACTGTTCTCAGCATCATTCTGAGGACACTGCAGCCCTGAGATGGAGGGTGGCTAGAAGGGGTAGAGAGAGGGTCCTTTCTACCATATGGACTGCATGAATGGACTCTGCACCATAAATCCAGCCTGCTCTTCAGAACAGGGTAGACAATGTGGGGAATGGCTAATCTTCTGAAAAGGTGGCTCTGGAGCAAAGAGTCTGGAACTTTGAGGAGCTTTCCATCCTCCCATCTAGAGCTTACTTTTCTTCACCTTAACAGTGCCGCCACCCGGGTGATTGGCTCAGCATCCTTAGAAGCAGATCTGGATGTAGACACGTTTTCACACTGCCCTAGATGCCTCACCAGGGTACCAAGCACACGGCCCCAGGTGTCTAGGAAGCTGCTAGGTAGACTGGATTTGAAACATCCAGATAAGGCTGGCCGGTGGTATGTGCTCCCTGCCTGCGAATCAGTGAGTTGATGGATCCCCTCTACGTTTTTCTGCTCCCATCTCATCTATCCAGCCTCCTGCCTCAGATGACTAAGGTAGCCCCTTCCTTGGGCTTATCCCTGTATCCCCCCTCACCAGTACCTACATACTTAACGGTCAAGGCTTGAAAGGCAAAACCCACCCTGGCTTCTTCTTCTTTGTTCTCACAAACAAAAGTTCCTTTGCGTGCTTTCACCTATCTTTTACACCTTTTTAATAAAATTTTAAAACTACTTCTTAAGCCAGGTACTTGATCCTGAGGGCTTGGGGACCCCCAGAATTTTAAAATGAATCAACCCTTTCTAAAGAATAAAGATTTGGGGGTGGTAGGACAATGGAATGAAAATCCAAGTCACTTGAGCATTTAACATAAGGTTAGCAAATATAAACAAACATTCACTCCCCCTTCCCTATTCTGCTATTTGAGACATGTTAGGGACCAGGCTACAAGGCACAAGCCAGACATTCAGGACCATCTCAGAACCTGCACCCTTCCCCCTCCGAAGAGCAACAGCCTCCCCTATCCCAGCCTGTCAGCTTCCGATCAGTAGTGAATTCTCATCACTGACAATGGTTCTAAAATTCATGCAGCGGGCCGGGAGAGATGAACCCATTAAATGCCTGACATTCGCCTGCGCTTACTCAATGTGATTCATTGCCAAAATGGCAGCTACTAGAACTTGCAGGGGCTTCCTACAGACTCAGGGATCATCTCCCAGCTTGGCAAGGTGAACCAACAGAACTGTTCGGTTTGCTAACACACTATGTTCCTGTAATACAGGCGTCCGAGTCTCTAATGCCGCTTCAAACAAAAACATGTTGACACAGCACCTTTCGAGTTTCACAGTGCACAGTGGAGCATTCATTGGTCATGCCAGTTGTTACGAAACAGATTCAACTGGCCCTCACAATGATGTTTTCCAAAACTCATCTTCAATGGCTAAGTATACGTAACAAGAAAAGTGGAGTCCAATCAAATTTAGCAGCCTAAAATAAACCTATCCTCAAAGCAGAACCAGCCGGGAGGATTCGGCAGCATCTGATTAGTGAGCCATGAGTGCCTGAAAACGCAGGAAGGAGAGCTGGCAGCAGAGCCCAGGCCACGGCTGTGGCAGCACAGCGAGGACACCAGGGAGGTTGACAGGTGCCACGAGGGCTTTCACTGCGGAGACTGTGGATCTAGGCAGCACTGAAGGTAACAAAACGGAAACCAAAACACCAATGGTTCCAAAAACAAAAACTACCTAGCAGATCCAAACATCGCTTTCTACCCAACCTATCCACCCACCCCCACCTCCTGTCCCAGGGCTAAGAGGAGTCAGCAGGGCAGGCCATCATGAAAGGCATTGCCAAGGCATTAGGGCCAATTTAATTTCTCTCTCTCTCTCCAAGTGACAGGTGACATGGAGCACAAGAAAGAATGTCGCTGCTGGATTTTATGCTGTGGCAAGTCAAGGCTTCTCAAACAAGTTAAGACAGTGAGGTCCCTAAGTGAACTCCCAGTAGCCCAGATTCATCCCAGACATGAGGGGATCAAGTGAATTTACCTCTCCTTGGCTGAGCTCCCAACCCTGTCCACAGAACCACAGCCCCAGGGACTAACGAATCCCCCTTCATCCTGACTCCAGCAGTTGGCAGCCTACAGAGGAAGACAGAGCCCAGCTAACTGCCCTGACACAAGGCAAGGAGATGCTGGATTGACTTTCATGAGGACCCAGAGGAGAAAACAGTTCTGCAGGGGGAAGGGACAGAAAAAACACCCACACACTCTAAATGACTTCGGCAGAGTAAGGCTTCAGCAGGAAGGTGAGACAAGCAATCCAGGCACAGCAGAGGCATGGAGCCCTCTAAGTCCAAGGCCACATTCAAGACAACTTCAAGAGCTGGGTGAAGCGATAAGGAAGGTAGAGTTGCAAATGCCAGTTCAGCAAAGCCTCAAGTCACTCGCTCAGTTTCTAACATCTGATGAACTTCAGCACAGACAGTGAGCAAAGCAGCTCACTGGAAATGATTTCACACATAGCCCTGGGTACTTGGTATAAGGGGAGCCCAGACTTCAAAGCCAGCCAGGCCTCAAATACCAGCTCCTTCACTGCTAGCCTTATGACCTGATCCTTGGCCCAAGAGAGCATCCTCTCCCCTGGCTCCATTGCAAGTTCCATGGAAGAATGTACCTCACCAAACTGCATTTCCCAAGGCATTGACCTTCTCTTGTGGTTTCTAGAAATTTTCTTCACCTGCCTCGAACGCTGCAGAGCAGTATGAAAACCCTTGTTTGTTTCAGCTTTCCGTGAGGCAATTAAAAGAAAAAGGCTTTGTAGCAGGCCATCTCTACCTGGCAAACTTGCTCTCCAAGTCTGTCCAGAGATGTCTGTCTGTCTTTCACTGCTTGCTCTCTGCCACCCTGTCCATCCCGTCTAGTGGAATGCCGTGATACTCCTCACACATTTTTCTGTCACCACCCCTTTCTTCTATGGGAAAGCATCAAGCTGATCACAGCACCTCCCAATTACGGCATATGCACCTGGCCTGCCAAATGACACAAGACTGTGTGTGTGTGTGTGTGTGTGTGTGTGTGTGTGTGTATGCGCACGCGCACGCATATGCAGGGAGGGATTTGTGGTCAACAGCAGGTGACACCTACTTATTTTTTAAGACAGGGTCTGTCACTGACCTTGGGGCTCACTGACTGGGCTAGGTTGGTTGGCCAGAGAGCCTCAGGGGTCTGCCTGTGTCCCCATCACCATCACTGGAATTATAGGCATACACAGCCATGGCCAGATTTTTGTTGTTGTTTTCAAGACAGTGTCTTTCTCTGTAACCTTGGCTTTGTAGACCAGGCTGGCCTCGAACTCACAGAGATCTGCCTGCCTCTGCTTCCCTGAGTGCTGGGATTAGAGGCATGAACCACGCCCAGTTTACCAGATTTTTTTTCATATATAAATGCAATTTATTAACATTTAGTCACCAAGCCTTCAATTAAAGCTTGAAACTGAGTCAACCTGTTTAACTGAAATTTTATACTTTCTTAACGATATCTCCATCTCTCCCACCCCTAACAATTATCTATTGCAAACTATTTCCTTGTTTCTTTCATTCTTCCCTCATATATTACATCAGGACCTCGCTTTCCTCTCCCCCATTCCTCCCAGTCCCTTCTCACACCTCCCCTCTGCCCCAGACTCACTCCTCCTTCATTTCTCTTCAAATAAAAGAGCAGGCTTCCCAGGGATTTCCGCCAAACACAGCCCAACAAGTTACAATAAGACAA